TTATTTTGTAGTTGAAACAGTTGACTTGGCGATTTCTTGTGCTCAATCGATAGAATAGAAGTAATACTAGTGAAATAGCTAAGAATTTGGTTGATTGGAATAATGTAATTGGCCTAAAATGGGAGTCAAAGTCGGCAAAATCGCCGATTCGTAAATATTGCTGACACATCAAAATTCGCGAGAGCATAATTTCGTCAATTTTCCACCAAATTTCGTACTTTTTGTTTTATTACCTTCACAAAAAGATTCTCTACGATTTCATAAGAAAAAATAAAAAATTTTTTTTTTTGAAAATTCTTGGACACTGGTGCGTGACTCCAGATTTGGGCCTTGGACCCTGAAAGGGTTAAGAAAGGAGCATGGTATCAGTCGTAGTAGCACAAGCTAGTCAGGTCCAACTCACACCCACTCATGTATTTATCTGACTTATTTTTAAAACTACACAATGTTTTAGCCTCTATAACTGTACTCGGGAGTTCGTTCCACTCATCCACAACTCTATTACCAAACCAGTGCTTTCCTATATCCTTCCTGAATCTGAATTTTTCCAACTTGAAACCATTTCTGCGAGTCCTGTCTTGGCTGGAAATTTTCAGCATGCTATTTATATCCCCTTTATTTATTCATGTTTTCCATTTATACACCTCGATCATATCCCCCCTAATTCTATGCCTTTTTAGAGAGTGCAGATTCAGGGCCCTCAGTCTATCCTCATAGGGAAGATTTCTGATACATGGGATCAACTTTGTCATCCTCCTCTTTACGTTTTCCAGTGCATTTATATCCCGGCCTTCCTGCTAAACTCCCTTTTGCAACATTAGCTTCCTTGATTTCTACTTTCTTTGCCAGGATGGAAGTGATTGTTGATTTGGATTTCCCATTCATCCTGGCAAGTTCTAGTACTCAAACACCAGTCTCATACTTTTCAACAACGTTTCTTAAAGTTCATCATGTTTCTCACTTTCTTTACTAAAGGAACTTTCTCTGGGCCCATGGTTGCTTATTTTGCAGTTGCATTCAATCAATAACCACAAAAAACAGTGGATTATAGCAAAATATTTGGATGAATGAGCAAAAGTTTCCTCACTCCCCCCAGACACAGCCAGACTGACTCACGTACGAGCGACTGGTGGGCAGGTGGGTGGATAAGCGAAATAACAGCCGATAACCAGAATAAAATTTCAGCCAAAAAACCAGGCAATAACCGAATTGGCCGATATCCAGAATGGCCGATAACCGAGGGTCCACTGAATGTCATCATTATGTGACAAGTGGAGGCAACCTTAACTGTTCCCACATTGTTGTGGTATTCACTGCCATCTAGCGATGGCCTTTCGAAGCCATCTATTTTTATAATTATTATAGTACATTATTATTATTATTATTATTTGTATTATTTATTATTTTTATTATCACACTAGCCGATTCCCACCAAGGCAGGGTGGCAGGAAAAAGAAAAACTTTCACCATCATTCACTCCATCAATGTCTTGCCAGAAGGGTGCTTTACACTACAGTTTTCAAACTGCAACATTAACACCCCTCCTTCAGAGTGCAGACACTGTACTTCCCATCTCCAGGACTCAAGTCCGGCCTGCTGGTTTCCCTGAACCCCTTCATAAATGTTACTTTGCTCACACTCCAACAGCACGTCAAGTATTAAAAACCATTTGTCTCCATTCACTCCTATCAAACACGCTCACGCACGCCTGCTGGAAGTCCAAGCCCCTCACACACAAAACCTCCTTTACCCCCTCCCTCCAACCTTTCCTAGGCCGACCCCTACCCCGCCTTCCTTCCACTACAGACTGATACACTCTTGAAGTCATTCTGTTTCGCTCCATTCTCTCTACATGTCCGAACCACCTCAACAACGCTTCCTCAGCCCTCTGGACAACAGTTTTGGTAATCCCGCACCTCCTCCTAACTTCCAAACTACGAATTCTCTGCATTATATTCACACCACACTTTGCCCTCAGACATGACATCTCCACTGTCTCCAGCCTTCTCCTCGCTGCAACATTCATCACCCATGCTTCACACCCATATAAGAGCGTTGGTAAAACTATACTCTCATACATTCCCCTCTTTGCCTCCAAGGACAAAGTTCTTTGTCTCCACAGACTCCTAAGTGCACCACTCACCCTTTACATTATTATTATAATGGGGAAGTGCTTGTGGGGGGAGGAGATGGAAGGTATTCAGGCTTAATTTAGTGAACTGGAACACAGATCCAATTCCCTAGATCAAGAACCCCTCACCATGTACATACTAATAACTATAATAATAATAATAATAATAATATATAATAATAATAATAATAATAATATGTAATAACAGTAAGGAGAAATTTAGAAGGCTGCCAGTAGTTGGCACCACGATCAACAAAACATTGGTAACCACTACCACTCTCCACCTGTCTAGACTTAAGTAATCTGTAGGTTAAGTCTGCCCAAAATGCCTCGGCATGATAGTGGCTTTCTTTGCTCCAGTCATTTTATAATATGTCAACACACATTGTAACCTTTGCAAAGAAATAAATATTTTATTTATTTATTTATTTATTTAAGGAACCTCCCTTGAGGGAGATGTACGCATCCTGAAATTTCATTCTTATCCAGAAGCAAAAAATTGACTGAACAACGGTTCGTATCCTGAAAAGTTCGCATGGTGGGGCGTTCGTAAGCCGAGGTTCCACTGTATTTATATGTTATTTGCTATATGTCTAATAGTATCCTGTAAAAATCTATACATCTCTGCTCTGGCTCCCAGAGAGAGACTGAATTTCCTAAATTTGTTTTCGTCACATATACAGCAGTGCTTGAAAGCACTAAACCAACAAGGGTCATACAGCGCTGTGGGGCAGAAAATAGTGCCGGGTCTATAAACAGCTAGTTGGAAAAGGGATCAGAAGTGAGGGAAGAAAAGGGCTGAAAGGGGCACAAGGGGCTATATGTCAAAGTTCGTGTAGTAAAGCAGTTGCTGACAAAAAGTTAAAAAGTGATTGTAAGTCAAAGGCAGGACCGTCAGCAAAGAGGGAAGATAAGCTTGATGAATAAAATGCCTCAATATTTAAAAAAAAAAATTGTTGGATTGACCCCCTCCCCTCCTAAAGACTGCTGTTTATTTCGTTAACTTACACCAGCTTGCCACAATTCATTTCTTGCAATATTGTGTGTGTTTGGCCTAGTTTTATATTTAACGTAATCTTCTTAGAAACTTAAGTAGCAATGTTCAGATTTTTTTTGTATGGTGCCTTTTTCATAATGCACCATTATTAAAACTTCGACTACTGTGTAAAATTCTTAGAACTCTTATTAAAAATTTTGTCAAGAGTGGCTCCTGTATTTTGATTTATTGCAGAAACTGTAATAACATTCTTTCGGAGTTATGTACTGTATATTATGGGGCTCAACAAGTCTAATATACCACATGTACAGAAACTAAAGACAATAGTTTTTACAATTTTCTAAAGCTTTTTGTAACAAAATGCTCTTCATAATAATAAGCTACAGTATATATATAATTGCATGTTTATCAAAATAGCATCACTAATTGTTTTCTTAATTATATTAACTGATGCATCGTAACCTTGCAGTGGTGGGCTCCATCCCGGGTCCTGGTGTGGCCCCCAACAACAGTACCAGTGAAGGAGGTGGTGGTGGCAGTGGTAGTGGTGGCAGTTTGATGGATTCAATTGCAAATAACCTTAACTGGGATCATAACCTTCCAGCACCAGCATCCATTCTTCCTGGTGGTGCCAACAACAGTAGTGGTAGCAGTACTGTTGGCGGTAGTGGTGGTGGTGGTGGTGGTGGCAGCAACAATACTGGCAATGTGACAGCTGGAGCAGCGTCAACTGCTGGAGTTGTGGTCCCCGGACCGACAGGACCACTTATGAATAATGGCTCCCGAGACATGTCATCTGCAGATTTGCAGAAACTACAGCAGCAACTCCATGACATTAAAGAACAGGTTGGATTACTTAAGTTTGTGAATTGCCTTATTTCAGTTTTGAATACTGTATCCATTGCATCATTATATTCATGGGGATACACTAAACATGTAGGGTTCATACATGGGCTCACCTATTTGCTTAGCTTTAGCAAACCTCTACATAAGAGTAACTCAAAGCAGAATACTTTACCCATCATCCCCAATAACATAACAAAGCTACACTATGATTTGGATTTTGCTACTGAAAAGGCTAGTTTATTGTGCACCCACATCATCCTGTGGATGGTAATGCAAGAGCATATGAATACACAAAAGACCTAGGAACTAGGCTTCAAAAGGTTTAACAGGAGTACATCTAAATTTATATTTGCAATTGTCTTTTCTGTTGTAAGCAAATTTACTGTATTTCGTGACTTACCAAGACTTGTTTTAGTTTCAATGGCTCAACATAAGACGTAACTGGGAGAGCTACAGCCCATCCACACCCAAACATATAGCTCCCATCACTGACCTTCAGTTTATAGGATGCAGGATTGTTTTTGGAGACATTTTATGGAAAAAAAAAAGTGTCTAATCAGCCGCAAAATATGGTACATTAGTATACAGTGGACCCCCGGTTTATGATATTATTTCATTCCAGAAGTATGTTCAGGTGCCAGTACTGAACGAATTTGTTCCCATAAGGAATATTGTGAATTAGATTAGTCCATTTCAGACCCCCAAACATACACGTACAAACGCACTTACATAAATACACTTACATAATTGATCGCATTGGGAGGTGATCGTACAGTGGGGGTCCACTGTATTTGCTTAATATGTTTGGAATCTTATTTTCACTCATAGAATGCCTTTACATGTCACAGTTAATTACATTATCTATCTCTTTATTCCTCAGTAAGTGGACAATAAAGTATAGTGTTCAAGAAAGTATCCATAAGGCTAACCACATAGTTTGCATGTAGTTTGATCATCCACATGTTTGCCAAACTGCCAGATATACTTCTAATGAAGCATAAGCCTGACTACTACAAAATCAGCCTGCTCACATTGGAAGTTACTCCATAAACATACTTATCTATGTTTATGTGATGATATATTAGTCATTTTTCCTAAAAGACAGCATTCACATCCCTTACACCATCAGCAATGTGGAGCCCACCATATAGTTTATGATCAAGGAAGAGGAGGGTACCTCAGATTCCTTAGATTATGAGATCTTCACAGCATCCAGGCTCCCTCAGTGAAGGGTGTAACCATTACTTTAATCCCTGCAGGTAAAAGGAATCTCCACCTTTAACCCTTTGACTGTCGCAGGCCCCTTTCTGAAACTGTCATTCTATGTCGCAAAATATTCGAAAAAAAAAAAATTATTTTTCTTATGAAAATGTTAGGAATATTTTTCCAAGTGTTTTAAGCCTAAAAAAAAATTTTTGCCATCAGTACTTACCGAGATATAGAGCTGCAAAGTTTGCAGAAAGTGACGTGCATACGGCAACAGCGGCGACTGCCGCCCACCTGGTATTCTTTTTACTCTAATTCAAAGGTTTCTTGCATTTTTCAATATTTTTCTTTTCCAAGTAACTTATGTGGCCTGTGAGACCAATGTAAGGTGCATTGTTCAAATATACACTCATTGTTTACAACACAATAACAGAACAAACTTTATCACTATTAGTTTGTGTATACACTTTGTTTACACAAACAATACAAAACAATGTTTATTACTATCGTTCCATAATATATATACATATGTATAGTCACTGAACACGTTCCTAGAACTGCTGCAGCTTGTGGAACTCTTTGAAACATGGGTATATGCAGAGGGGCACTTGACACTCCTCACACATAAAACGAGCGTGTCTGCGTGTTTGTGGGCGTTTTGTGGTATGTGTACATACATAACACCTCTTCTGAGCATTTTTCTTGGCAGTAGTAGGAGGCAGTTGTATGGGGTAGTGATCACCAGGCCTGAAAGGAGACGACGTGTGTTGGTAATTTCGTGGGCGCTGGTCTATTGCAGGTGTTGCTCCTTGGTACTTTGCGATTATTTGTCTGATTACTGACAAACAAAATTCACCATATTTTGGTGTTTTGTTGGTCTTCAACTTGTATATGTTATAAGCATTTAGCATAGAGATATCAACAAGATGGAAAAAAAGTTTTATATACCACTTATAACTCTTGTGTACACAATCTGCAAACCCAATCTGCATGTCACATTTGTCCACTAAGCGCATATTGAGGTTGTAGTCCATGACAGCTGCAGGCTTTAGAATGGGTTCATTGGTCTCTCTGTTGTGCCTGCCACTGTGTGCCATTTCGTTTCGGTGAACTGATGTCAACAATGTGACATCACGTTTGTCATGCCACCGAAATGCCATGATGTCATTGGCAGCAAAGGCTTGCACCTCACGTCTGCGAGTGCCAGCGTCGAACCTTGGCATATGTTTACGATTACCACGCACTGTGCCACACACATCTGTCAAGTTCACTCGCAAGAAATCACTGAGTAGGGGGCTTGTGTACCAGTTATCAGTAAATAACATATGCCCCTTACCAAGATATGGTTCCATCATTGTTCGAACCACATCACCAGAGATACCCAATAACTTCATGGTATCTCTCAAAGTATTACTGCCAGTGTACACAATGATATCCAAAACTAGACCACTTCTGCAATCACACAGTACAAATAACTTTATACCAAAGCGTTTCCTCTTGCTTGGTATATATTGCTTGAATGAGAGTCTTCCTTTGAATAAAATCAAAGACTCATCAATAACAAGCTTCCTGAAGGGATAAAAATACATGCAGCACTTTTGTTTCAGGTACATAAACACATTTCTGATCTTATATAACCTGTCGGTTCTGTCAGGCCTGGTTTTGTCTGAAAGTGTAACATACGTAACAGTATCAGGAAACGATTGACACCTATACTGTCACTAAAACCTGGAGTTGAAATCAGGTGTTATGTTGCCCAGTATGTGGTGACAGTGTGCTTATACACATGTGGCATAAGCATTATTGTGGCAAAAAACAAGTACATCTCTGCCACAGTTGTCTCCTTCCACTGGTGTAGCCGTGATTTTGGTGAGAGAATTGTATTTGCCATGGTGTAATTATAGTATGTGTTTGTTTCCCCGACAATGATGTCCATCAGAGGTTCATCGAAGAATAACTCAAAGCAGTCCAGTTCACTAGCATTGTTCCCAAGTGGACATGATGGCTTTATTCCACTTTGTGTTTCATCAAAGTCGTGGGGACTGGGAACAAACTCGTCACCATCCTGCCAATCCCAGATGCGGTCTGCTGGTGGGTTCTGGATATTGTACCGTGGTTGTGGTTGTGCAGGTTGTGGTTGTGCAGGTTGTGGGAGTGTGGGGTCGGGTGAGGCTGGTTGTTGTGCAGAGTCAGCAGCGTGGGTAGTAGCATGGCCTGCTGAAGGTGCCACATGGGCTGTGCCACCATCACTATCACCACCACTGCCTGCTCCCTCACTCACATCATTCATACCCATCGTAACAATATCGTCATCTTCACTATCAGGTCGTGGTGTAGGGCCACGGGATGTGCTCCCAGAGCTTCTCCTTCCCCTTGGAACAACATATGAAACACTACCAGACCGCATGCTACGTCGTACATACTGCCGCTTCACTGGGGAATATTCACCCTCACTGTCACTAGAACTGCTTTCAATGACCTTGAAATCACTATCAATATCACATTCACTGCTAACATCTGGGTGTTGTACACGACCAAATAGTTTCCTCTTTCATCCTGGTACAGGCAAACGTGAATGTGAACAAGCCGGCCCAGCGCCAGAGGTGGAAGGTTGTGGGTCATCTGGGTTTTCATCACTAATTACATTATCCTGGGCACTTTTTCCGGTAACACTCGCTTCAAAACCCTGGAATTCACTGTCACTGACATTTTCATCACTGTTAGAGCTATCACTTGGGAACAAAAAGACCTCCAATCCGCCGAGGAGTGAGGAACTTCTTACCGAGAGGCATGGTGAAAATGGACTAACAAGATGGCGTTCCCACAGTGCACCGCTGGGTCCCAGATTTTTTTCACGGGGTGCAGACCGACCACTGAGACCCATTCTCTCTCATGTAGGCCTACCAGGCCTTTCCCGCTTGATTTGAAGCCACTAGAATTTGTGCGTATAAATACATCAGAAACAGTGGCTCATAAGACGTATTTATACGGCTTAAACAGTCAAAGGGTTAAATATAATCTCCAATCTGATGTCAAATTTTTCATAGCCTTGCTCTTTCTTATGTTCACATTTATTTTCTTTCTCTTACATAGCATTCTAAATTCATCTATCAGCACATAGAAATAGCTCAGACTTAAGAGTGGAAACTATGATGACCTCTCAGCCCATCCAGGACCATTGTCAACTCACACATGAATGGGAGTAGAAAATTATTATTATTATAATCAAGGGGGAAGCACTATTATTATTTTAATTAAAAAAAAGTGCTAAACCACAAGGGCCATACAGTGCTGCAGGGCAGGGAAGGATGTGAGGATATCAGGTAGCAAGAGGGAGAGGGATGATTAGTAGGTTATGGAGTACAGCGGGGCAGTGGATAGTGCAAGAGTAGAGGGTAACAAGTGATTGAGGTAGTAAGAGCTGAGGGGAGTGCTAAAGGAATCATCATCAAAGTTTGTGGAGTAAACCAGTTGTTGTTAAAAAGTCAATGAGAGAGTCCAGATTGAAGGAGGGTCCATCAGCAAGAAGGGAAGGTAAAAAAAGAGCAGCAGAGCAGAGATGACGGAGGTAAATTCTGTGTGCTCGTTGATAGAGTGAGCAGTCCAACAGAATGTGGCAAACAGATACTGGAACCAGAATTCTCACAGATTGGAACAGGGTGCCTCTCCATGAGATACCCATGAGTAAGACAAGTGTGGCCAATGCAAAAATGGGAGAGAGTAGCCTCCCGACCTCGACAACGATGACAAGATGACGGCTAGTAACCTAGACTCGGTTTAATAGAATGAAGTTT